GCTCATGAAAACCCCAAATCCACAATCTCAGTAAATTAGAATATTGTGAAAAGGTGCAATATTCTAGGCTCACAGTGTCCCACTCTAATCAGCTAAGTAAGCCATAACACCTGCAAAGGGTTTCTGAGCATTTATATTGTCTCTCAGTCTGGTTCAGTAGGAATCACAATCATGGGGAAGACTGCTGACCTGAGAGTTGTGCAGAAAACCATCATTGACACCCTCCATAAGGAGTAATTGTGAAGGAAGTTCCCAAAGTGCTGTATCAAAGCACATTAATAGACAGTTAGGTGGAAGGGAAAAGTGTGGAAGAAAAAGGTACACAAGCAGCAGGGATGACCGCAGCCTGGAGAGGATTGTCAGGAAAAGGCCATTCAAAAGTGTTGGGGCCCTAAAGGAGTGGACTGAGGCTGGAGTCAGTGCATCAAGAGCCACCACACACAGACGGCTCCTAGACTGGGCTTCAGATGTCATATTCCTCTTGTCAAGCCGCTCCTCAACAACATAGAAAGAGGGTATGTTAGGTGCTCACTCCAATAGAAAAAGTTAGTTAGTGGGCAGCAGTAATCAATACAAGGATTCCCAACCTTGTAAGAAAACAGTATATCCAAAGAAAGAGAGAGGAACCGCGCCCTAAATTAAATATACCTACATTCAGTGTATGTTTCTTTTGAGTAGTTATCATATATCCTCAAAAAATAAACACAGAGAGAAAACACAATGGTGCAGTACAGTTAAAGAGCTGAGAGAGATATTTGAGTAGATTAAGATAATTTGCACTCACATTTGGTAGAACAATCCCCGTCTAAGGATATGGAAGCAGATATCTTCAACACTCCAGTAGTAGGACAATATAGGAGATATAAAAAGAAACTCCAATAGTGCAGTATATTATAATCCAAGTTTGGAGAAAAAATAAATAGAGAATGTGATACTCATATTTGCTAGAGCAGAAACTTGCTCTAGTATATTTGGCTTTCAGTGGTAAGATCCCCACGGTAGGATATGTAGACCAGGAAGTGAGATAATAGATTTGAAGTAAAAAAGTATATATCGCTTTAAAAAATTATTTAATGACAATATATAAAAACAAATGGCTATATAAAATAACACTTAACGCGTTTCGCCGATTAGGCTTCTTCAAAAGTGTAAGAAATGTCTTTAAAATGTCCTTCATATAGGTAACTTACATAAAAAACAATAGCTTCCTGGTGTGTTCGGTCCTCTGCTTCCGTGGAACGCATGCGGCGTACCGGAAGTGACGCGGCGTATCCACGTGTAGTCATAACCACCGTGGAACGCACGCGGCTCGCAGGAAGTGACGCGCCGTATCCGCGAGTAGTAATGTTTTGGGTTCCAGCGTGAAACGCATCGCAGTCGCGATATGACGCCATGTGCGTAAGTCCAATTGATTAGTCTCTTGCCCAACAAAATAATCTATTAAATAATAATAACAACCCAGTTTTATAAATTAGATTTCACCATTGATCTTCTTCTAAATCTCCTAGGGAATACTTGTCCTCAACGTCCGCATATGATGATGTTACTAGCTTCTCATATTTGGCCAGCAGTAGATTCGGCCATGTTGCTCCTCAACAACAAACAACGTCAGAAGCGTCTTACCTGGGCTAAAGAAAAACAGACCTGGTCTGTTGCTCAGTGGTCCAAAGTCCTCTTTTCTGATGAGAGCAATATTTGCATCTCATTTGGAAACCAAGGACCCAGAGTCTGGAGGAAGAATGCAGAGGCACACACTGCAAGATGCTTGAAGTCCAGTGTATAGTTTCCAGAGTCTGTGTTGATTTGGGGAGCCATGTCATCTGCTTGTGTTGGTCCACTGTGCTTCATTAAGTCCAGCGTCTACCAGGAGATTTTGGAGCACTTCATGCTTCCTTCCACAGACAAGCTTTATGGGGATGCTGACTTCATTTTCCAGCAGGACTTGGCACCTCCCCACACTACCAAAAGAACCAAAGCCTGGTTCAATGACCGTGGGATTACTGTGCTTGATTGGCCAGCAAAATCACCTGACCTGAACCTCTTAGAGAATCTATGGGGCTTTCCAAGAGAAAGATGAGAGACATGAGACCGAACAATGCAGAAGAGCTGAAGGCCGCTATTGAAGCATCCTGGTCTTCCATAACACCTCAGCAGTGCCACAGGCTGATAGCTTCCATGCCACGCCGCATTGAAGCAGTAATTGCTGCAAAAGGGGTCCAAACAAAGTACTGAGTCCATATGCACGCTTATACTTTTCAGAGGTCCGATATTATTCCATGTACACTCCTTGTTTTATTGATTGCATTGAATATTCTAATTTTCTGAGATTGTGGATTTGGGGTTTTCATGAGCTGTAAGCCATAATCATCGCACTTATGACAAATCACGGCTTGAACTATCTTGCTTTGCATGTATTGCGTCCATCTCTTAAATTAGTTTCCCCTTTTACGTTGCATTACTGAAATAAATGAACTTTTGCACAATATTTTTCCAGTATCACCTGTGTGGCGGAACCAACCTCGCTACTGGGCACCGGAGAAGACTGGTTGCTTGCCTGCTCCCTCTGGACTATGGCCCCATGTTAAACTGTGCTCTTTTCACCTTTAGAAAGGCTTGTTCGTGCCTTTCTGCCTAGGCGTTCGGTAGATTAAATCTGCCAAACCAACGCACGAAAGGGGGGAACACCTGGGCAAGGAGTGTGCCGGTGATTTACCTCCCAGAAGCTGCGTTAACTGCAGCTTAATTGTGAATGCTGGGTGGCCGCTGTTCATATAACCGAACCATCTTAAACTCCCGAACGGTCAGCGGTATTCAGCTCCAAATCTATTTAACTCAAAACGGACACTTATTTGCATGAACATCGCTGATCCGCCGACCTCCCTTCTCCTGCAATTCATACGAACGCCGCCCGTACGGTACTTTCCCTATGTGAGCAGTGTTACCCCAGATAGCTATGTCATGGAGCCCATTCGTGTAATGAAAGACTATGTGAAAGACTTTGGCTCCATGGCGATTGAACTGTATGTATGTGATCTGAGCGCCATTCGGTAATAATGTGCGCTCAGATCTAAGCCATCTGGGGATATGTTGAATGTATATGTTTTATGTAGTAATTGTAACACTGTGCAATTTTATGTCTTTTTACTAACGTGGCTAATGAAGTTTTTGCCTCTGTCCTTGGAGATAATTGGATTACTTCCCAATTATCTCCAGGATAGAGAGGAGAGATTACAATGTGCATGTGGGAGTGGTTAAGGTTAAACTGTCCTGATTGGTTACTGTCCAGTTTGTGTCCCATGTCCCACCAGGTCCCCTATGGGAGTGTCCACCTGGTGGGAAACCTGCATAAATACCGGGCAGGTGGCCCAAATTAAACAGATCACTGCTTGACCCTCAAAACAAAGTGTCATCTCGTTCTTGGGGGGATTTGATTGTATGCTGTTACAGTTCAACTGCCAGTAGTGTAAACTGTTCGTATGGTTTTTCCTGTTCCGCGGTTTACAGTATCCGTATGTTTCCAGTTCTGGAGTTGGAGAATTTGTGTGTTTCCTGTTTGGGAGATTGGTGCTTGCAGTAGCTGCCTGTGTATCTGGAAGGCAATATCCTCTAAACGGCTGTTTAACACCTTGTGTGCCGGGGGGTGACTTTACAACCTGTATATGTTTTTTTTCTCAATGATTTTCGGGTTACTTTACTAAAGTCACAGAAAGTTATGACAAAATGCTATTTACTACTTGGTGTAACTGGATATTTAAATTAAACAGCCTTTACTGTTCTATTCTTGTTCCATACTACATCAAATGACATTACCATGGCATTATCCAGTAATCTTCTTGTATTAACGGAAAACTAATTTATTACCAAAAATAAAATATTGTGAATGCCTATGTGTTATTCTGTGGTGGGAGGGTTTGTATATTTTTTAGCACATCTCCATTCTTACTTTTATTCTGTGCAGAAGGCCGTCGTTTATCCTCTTTGGTTAGAAGCACCACTTTCCATAACTGCTAAGTCCATGCACAACCTGAAGATGAAACTACCTCAGATTGCATTCTTTTGAGGTGCTTTTGCCTGCTTATTTTGGGATTCATAAATGCACACTAGCTTTCAATTACCAACACAGTTTTTGTTTATATAAGCTTTGGTTATGACCAAAGAGAAGTAAAGATGACTGCACTCAGGGCCGTCTTTAACGCGGGGCAAACTGGGCAGCTGCCCCGGGCCCAGTTTCTCTTGGGGGGCCCGAGGCACCTGCCCCGTGAGCCCCGCTGACCCCGGCGGGCGGGTGGCCGGTCGGGCAGGAAGGCGGGCGCATGAGGGAGCACTCACTGCTTCCTCTTCAGCTCCCTCGCGCACCGCACTGATACCGGAGCCGGAAGATGATGTCATCTTCCGGCATCGGCATCCTACGCGGCGCGCGAGGGAGCTGAAGAGGAAGCAGTGAGTGCTCCCTCGCGCGCCCGCCTTCCTGCCCGACCGGCCACCCACCCGCCGGGGTCAGCGGGGCCACTGGACCCCAGGGAATCCCCCCAGCACTCCAAAAGGTAAGTAGGCTGGGGGGATTACATTTAAAAAAAAAAAATGTGTGTATGTGTTTGTGTGTTAGTGTATGTGTGTGTTAGTGTGTGTGTGTTTGTGTGTTAGTGTATGTGTTTGTTTGTTTGTGTGTGTGTGTGTTAGTGTGTGTTAGTGTTTGTGTGTTAGTGTATGTGTGTGTTAGTGTATGTATGTATGTGTGTGTTTGTGTGTGTTAGTGTATGTGTGTTAGTGTGTGTTAGTGTATGTGTTTGTGTGTTAGTGTATGTGTTAGTGTGTGTGTTTGTGTATGTGTGTTAGTGTGTGTGTGTGTTAGTGTATGTGTGTTAGTGTGTGTGTGTTAGTGTATGTGTGTGTTAGTGAATGTGTGTGTGTGTCAGCATGTCTGTGTGTGTGTCAGTATGTCTGTCTGTCTGTGTGTCAGTATATATGTCTGTGTATATCTGTGTGTGTCTGTATGTGTATGTGTCAGTATGTCTGTCAGTGTGTCAGTATGTCTGTTAGTGCATGTGTATGCATGTGTCAGTATATCTGTCTGTGTGCCAGTATGTCTGTGTGTGTGTGTGTGTCAGTATATCAGTCTGTGTGTGTCAGTGTATGTGCCTGTGTGTGTGTGTCAGTATTTCTCAGTGTATGTGGGTGTCAGTATATCTGTCAGTGTGTGGGTGTCAGTATATCTGTCAGTGTGTGGGTGTCAGTATATCTGTCAGTGTGTGGGTGTCAGTATTTCTGTCAGTGTATGTGTGTCAGTATGTTGATCAGTGTATGTGTCTGTGTGTGTGTGTCAGTATGTCGGTATATGTGTCTGTGTGTCAGTATGTCTGTATATGTACCTGTGTCAGTATGTCTGTCAGTACGTCTACCAGTGTATGTGTCTGTGTGTGTGTCAATATATGTACCTGTGTCAGTGTGTCTGTCAGTGTATGTGCCTGTTTATCTGTATGTGGTCAGTGTATGTATCTGTGTATCTGCTTGTGCGTCAGAGTGTGTACCTGTGCATCTGAGCCGCAACTTTAAATACAAATACACCCCTCCATTCAAACTTCAACACTACATATAAAACACACTCCTGCATTGAAACGTCAACACTACATACAAACACACTCCCACATTCAAAAACAAACACTACACATAAATGCACACTTGCATTCAAACTCCAGTACCACATACAAACACATTCACACAAACATACTCCATACAAACACATGCTTACATTCAAACATACTAACATGGCTCAGTGCTAAATACAACCCTGCAAGCATGGGAAATTGGTAGAGTCCCAGCTGTCAAAGCATTATTGGAGTTGCACGACAGATGGGGTTCTACCTTTAGTCCAACCTTGCAATTGGGGGTCCCAATAAAATTCATTCTACTTTAGTACCGCCACTGCGTTGGGATAGATGCCGTGATTGCATACCAGGGAGTGAGGGGCGAGAGCGGCAGGGCACAGGGGGCCCAAGCAAACACTTGCCCAGGGTCCATTCGTTATTAAAGACGGCCCTGACTGCACTCTTAGAGCAAGGATAAACCCGAAGATTCAATGAATAGAAGTGCTTTATGTGTTGGAGTTTCACTTTGAGAACTGCAGACATTTGATAAGGAAGTCTTTTTTTCTGGACTGATGGGATGTGGCTAAGGAGGCAGCCTTATGTTGCAGCATTCTGAAAAACTTTTTCTTTTATTGTGCATTAACTATAATGATTTGAGTCCGCAAAAATACAGCATAACAAGGCAAAATGTGTTATATTTGTATTGGTGCTCGTAGTGTCCATGTAAGGACTGCCAGTCTATAAATTAGGTTACCGGTTGGATATTTTTTTTACTTTAAGTCTTGTCTTTAGCAAGTAAGTTTATGCTCAGTTGAACTAACATCAGATGCTTGATCTGTCCTGTCATAAAACATAAATCTGCCCCTGAATCAAATCATTGGTAGAACAAATTACTACTTCACCAAATGCAATAATTACTTTATAGATTAGCAGTTAGTAAAAACATGTCATTAGTTAGATACTATGCTTTTGTTGAATGCTGCATCTATGCATGCTCTTTCGAATGCCGTGGATTTTGATGTTCCATCTAGTCTGTTATGAGGGGTATCAAATAAGCATCTGTTTGGCAAATATCTGAAGTTGTCAAAGGTCTTGAGGGATGTATGGTGTGGTGGTAGGTTCTAAAAAAAGTGTTATCTATCCGTTTGTGAAAAAGTTATAGTACCCGATTAGGTCATTGTCTTCAAAATGTACAAAGTCACGTGGATTCATGCCTGGAGGGGGAGAGTCTGTTCCGTAAAAAATCAACTAAATATGGATACGATACTTATGAGAGGGAATTTCCACTGATTTATTTCCATATTTCAATAATGTTGGGTATGGATGGTGGCATTGGCGGAACGAATGGATGTGTATGTCAGGGGAGTTAGATGCAAGGATGGAAAGTCCTGGCCGAAAAGGTCATGCTCCAGGTCCACCCAATGTGTAAACCCTATTTGTGTGTTGTTATTATTATGTTATTATTTATATAGCGCCAACAAATTCTGCAGCGTTTTACAGTGGGTGGACGAACAAATGTGTAGTTGTAACCAGACAAGTTGGACACACAGGGACAGAGGGGTTGAGAGGCCTGCTAGGTGGGAGCAGCATTATGTAGAGATTTGAAAGCAAGAACCAGAATTTTAAATTGAGCCCCATATCTTACAGGAAGCCAATGTAGGGACTGACAGAAGGGTGAGGCGTGGGTGGTGCGGGCGGACAGGAAGATGAGCCCCGCCGCCGCATTCATTATGGACTGTAACGGCACAAGTTGGGAGCATGTAAGACCACTGAAAAGCGGATTACAGTAGTCAAGGAGAGAAAAGAAAAGTGGAATGGACCCTGACGTTAAGTAGGGTCGTATGCGCGCAATGTTTTTGAGATGGAAGCGGCAGGATTTGGCGATAGACTGAACATGAGGCATGAAGGAGAGTTCGGAGTCAAAGAGAGAACCTAGGCGGTGATCCTGCGTGGTGGAGCTGATGGTAGCACTGTTGACTTGAAGGGAGACAGACACAGGAGTAGCAACACTTGAGGGAGGAAAGACCAGAATTTCAGTTTTGGTCAAGTTGAGTTTAAGGAAGTGGGCAGCCATCCAGTTAGAAATAGCAGAGAGGCAGTCAGAGACACTAGTCAAGAGGGATGGGGAGAGATCAGAAGAAGACAGACACATTTGCATGTCAGCTGCATAGAAATAATATTGGAAGCCAAAGGAGCTAATGAGTTTGCCAAGGGAGGCAGTATAGATGGAGAACAGTAGGGGACCAAGGACTGAACCATTGGGGACACCAACAGAGAGGAGTTGGGGAGAAGAAGCAGAGCCAGAGAAAGAAACACTGAAAGAGCGCTGGGAGAGGTAGGAGGAGCACCAGGAGAGAGTAATATCTTGTAGACCGATATTGTGGAGGATAAGAAGAAGCTGTTGATGATCAACAGTGTCAAAAGCTGCAGACTGGTCAAGGAGAATTAGGATAGAGAAGTGACCACGAGATTATGCAGCGAGTAAATCATTGGATACTTTGGACAGTGCCGTTTCTACAGAATGCTTAGCCCATAAACCAGACTGAAGTGGGTCTAGCAGAGAATTGGACTCGAGGAAGTCTGTCAATCTCCCATACACAACTCTTTCAAGGATCTTGGATGAAAAAGGCAGTAGCGAGATAGGACGGTAATTGGACAGGGAGTTAGGGTCAAGGTTGGGCTTCTTTAGAATTGGGGTTATAGTTGCATGTTTGAAGGGCGATGGAAATATGCCAGAGAAGAGAGATTGAGAATTTCAGTGAGAGGTAGAGAAAGAGAAGAAGACAGAGTATGGATGAGATGTGAGGGAATTGGATCTAGGGAGCAGGTGGTGAGGTGGGAGGACTGGAGCAGAGCAGAAACCTCTTCTGCTGTAGCGGGTGCGAATGAACATAGAACAACAGAGGGAGTGAGGTTAGGGGAAGAAGAAAGATGAGAGATCTCTTCCACAGGGGCGTACCTAGAGCATTTGGCACCCGGGGCGGATCCTGTGCTTGGCACCCCCTGGCCCCCCATGTGACATCACAATGCCCCACCCATATGGTCTGCCATGTTAACTAATGCCAGTGCTGCAGTGCCACCGTGTTTACATTAAAAGGCCTGCAGGGACAGGCTATAGACACCAGAACCACTACATTAAGCTGCAGTGGTTCTGGGGACTATAGTGTTTCTTTAATGTGAGGTAAATTAGAGCTTAGTGCACAAATAATATACTAGATTGCCTACTTATAACCAGATGAGGATGATGATGGGCTCTAGCTGCAGTTTGGCTCCACTGGTCTGGTGTAGAACAGGCTCTCTGGAGGCGGTTTGTAACTGTGGTCACAAAAATCAATGTTCTGGGAGAACGGGAAGCAGCTCCATTTTTTGGGGGCCCTTTACACAGCTCAAGGTCTGGGTCCCAGGGTCCACCTTCATGTTCCACCAATGAGTTTGTTCACAGGGGGTGGAGTGTGTAGGGGATGTCCTGATATGTGTATAAGGAATGCATTGTGTGAATCTGTGTTTGTTTGTGTAAGGGCTGCAAGGTGTGTTTCTGTGTATTTACGGGATGCAGTGTGTGCGTCTGCAAGGGATGCATTGAGTGTGTGTAATGAATGCATTATGTGTTTCTGTGTGTGTAAGGGATGCATTGTGTGTAAGGGTTGCATTGCTTGTGTATGTGTGTGTAATGCATTGTGTGTGTAATGCATTGTGTGTTTTTCTGTGTGCAAGGGGTGCATTGTGTGTAATTGTGTGTGTGTGTGTGATGGATGTTAATCTCTCCCCCCCCGTCAATTTCTTTCTCTCCTCCCTCCTCCTCAATTTCAATTTCCTTCCCCCCATCCTCAATTTCCTTCCCCCATCTGCTCAATTTCCTTCTCCCCCCCTCAATTTCTTTCTCCCTCTCCTCAATTTCTTTCTCCCCCTCCTCAATTTCTTTCTCCCCCCTCCTCTTCAATTTCCTTCCCCCCCTCCTCCTTCTTCCCTCCTCCTCAATTTCTTTCTCCCCCCCTTCCTCCTCAATTTCCCCCCTCCAACCACTGTTGTAGCATGGCCGAGCCCTCTATGGTACGCGGGTACAGGGAGCTTTTGTTTCCTGTACCTAGCGGGACTAACAGGAAGCTAACACTCAGTGTGTACTTCCTGTTAGTCCGGCCGGGTACAGGAGACAGATGCGCCCTGTACCCGCCGACCAATAGAGGGCTCGGCCACGCTACAGTGAGGGAGTGACAGAAGGGAGCGCTGAGCACTTCCCTCTTGTCAGCCCCTCTCCTCAGGCTGCGCCCGGGTAAAGCTGCAGCCGCCTGAGGCTCTCTACAGAGCGCTCGGGCAGCTACAGCATGAGGGGGCCGGTGCTCCTGGCGGCGCCCCCTCCCAAGGCACCCAGGGCGGACCGCCCCCTCCCTCCCGTAGTACGCCACTGCTCTTCCATGATTGTAGAGATCTTGTCAGTGAAGTGAGTTGCAAAGTCTGAGGTTGAAGTTTTGTATTTGTGTTAGTTGTGCTGCATGGTAATAATGGAGAAAGTGGTGCATTCCCAAACCACTGGATCTATCTGGAATATATATAGCGGATGTTTTGACTCTAGCTTGGCTTTTTCACCATATGAAGTGGTTGATTTGTAATTTTGATAAAAGTGGCAATAAGGATGGGTAGGGCTTGAAAGGGATATAGGAAAATGGGGAGTTGCTTTTCTCAGTAAGGGGGGTATAGTTCAGAAGGTAATTTTGATAGAGTTCTGCTGGGAGTTGAATACCCAAATATGTAATGTGGAAGTCTCTATATTGAAATGAATAGAATGATCATAATTTTCCTTAGTCTGTGTGTCTAGTTTGAGGATGAGAGCTTCAGTCGTATCTATATTTAGTTTGTATCTAGATACTTTAGTATATTATGTCTGCTTTTGTGCGGTTTGCCTGAAATCTGTGCTGGTAGTGTATTAGGGGATTATTGAGATCTTTGCCATTTATGGATATGCAGGGTAGTGAGGAAAGTATGGAGCAGTGTTACTTTTAGCTTGGGGAGCCAATAACTGGAGAGGAAAGGAATAGAACTTGGGTTTAACAAGGGTGATCCTCCAAAAAGTGAGGAGAGTGTGGTTATGATAACACATTGTAAGGCATATGACAGTGGATATTAGAAAAAGGCCTGGGCTTAAATCAGATGCAAGTCAATAGAGGTTTTGTGGGTGCGAGGAGAGCCCAATACACCTGCACCATTTTAGGTTTCAGTATATTGTGAGTGGGAGGATGAAATGGGACAGTCTGAAGAGACGCTCACCCTGGCGCAGCTAAAGTGGACAGGAAGCAGTAGCCTTGGAATAAGGTTGCTCAGTGGCTGATCTATGTGAGAATGGATTGAAGGGTGCTGGACTTCCCCCGAGCATCCTGAATTAGGCATATGGTAATTAGGGTTCAAGCTCAATGGTGGGGCAGTGCAAGGATGTAGACAGTCAGTTCTGAGAGCTGACTATATGTTTGTAGGGAAGTGTAACGGACCGTTTTGCACACAAGGGGTAAAAAACCGCTTAGATGATAATCCCCTTTCAGAGACAGGCACAGCTACTGTAGAATCACCAAAACTCACGAACTGAATACAAGTGAATGCTCCAAACTCCCGAACAGCATACAAGGGAATGCTCCAAACACTCGAACTGCATACAAGGGAATGGTCCAAACACTCGAACTGCATACAAGTGAATGCTTCAAACTCCCAAACAGCATACAAGGGAATAAGGTAGCACTCCAAATACATGAACAGGAACCATACGAATTGCTGCTACCAGACGAACAGGGAAAGCTCCCAAGCGGCTTACACTCCTGGCAATCGGTCCTTAGCAGCACACAGTAAATCCCCCCAAAGACGAGACAAGGCTCCGTGTTGAGGGTCAAGCAGTGGTCTGTGGTGCTGGCACACCCAGCCTGGTTTTTATTACAGTCTTGCAAATACAGGACCGCCCACAGGGAGGTATAAAATATCCAGTAACATATTAGTTACAACCCACAGATTCCCTCCCCCTTTTTACCACAATGTATCCTGGCTTCCTCTCCTCTGCCCAGGAGATAATTGAGAAGTAATTAAATTATCTCCCAGGACAGAGACAAGACTCCATTATGCACATGGTTAGCACAAAGCATTAAAATACTGTACAATACACAAAGTCCCATTTTATACATAAAACAAGCATTACTGTTAAAATACACCAAGTAAGACACATTACATTAAAACTATACATTTAACATATCCCCAGATAGCTCAGGTCTGAGCGCACATTATTAAGTGAATGGCGCTCAGACCACACGAATACAGTTAAATCGCCATGGAGCCAAAGTCTTTACAGTCAGTTTCATACGAATGGGCTCCATGGGATTCCTATCTGGGGTATAACACATTCAAACAAATCTACCGAACCACAGGCAGAAAAGCACGAATGAAGCTTTTCTGCAGGTAAAAAAGATGTCTTTTAACAGGGGGCCATAGTCCAAAGGCAGCAGGCGAGCAACCAGGCTTCTCCAATGCAATGTGGCGAGATTGGTCTCGTCACAGGAAGGTAAGCCAGAAAAAATATAAAACAGTGAACATATACATTACTTAACATAAGACATTGAGTGGCATGCTCTAATGCTCGCACTTCCCTGTGCCCCACTGGCCAAAACTCTCTAGGAAGGGTGGCAATAAATGTACAGTAGCTGGACCCCTTAAATGTAGGTGTCATTATTGGCATGGTGAATGCTAACATGTGATCCACTTAGTGTGCATATACGTAGTGAAAAAATAAGTTTGAGCAGACACCAGGATGTGCAGCTCTTTGCATTTATTGGTCTAAGTAAAAATAAATATTTCTCCCTTGCTATTAGTCGCAAGAGGTTTTTTTTTTGTGTGTGTGTGTCCCTTCATCCTCCTGTTTCCCGCTTCCCCTTTCTCTCAACCTTCCTCCCCAACTCCTTCCCTACTCATTATAGAAACATATTAGCAATGTACATGCTTCCCCTCAACCATGTTCAGCCCATCACATGTTACATACATTTAACAATATGGTAGGAGAACTATAGATAAAATGATATTGGTCATTAAACCAGGTGGTTGATCACAAAGGATAGGTAACATGAATTTGCTATAATCCCATCATCTTGTGGGGGAATGACAGTCCTGTCTCAACCAAAGTCGGATCAGCTTCTCACTTTGCCAAACAGTTGTCCCTTATTTTGTTCAGGTTCCCACTTGTTGGTCACCTCTGAATTGAAGAGAGGGTCTCTTCTTGGCATGTTGTCTAGAAGCTCGAGGGTTGAAAGCTTCTTTAAGGCTGGTTTAGCATTCGGAGGTGTAAGGTGGGAAATGCCTAAGCTTTTTGTGACGGGCTGAATTGTAGATATATCTTAGATGATATGGGTCACACTATCCTGGACCATTAGTTTAAATGGGTGTCCCATCTGTAGCTAACACTACCAGGGTATGAGTTGTAGTGAGCAGTTTCATATCCCAGCATTTACTGAGTGTGATTCGGGAAAGGTCTCAGTAGAAGGATTGGGTTTGTAGATTGGAACACCGGTGTGGTTTTCCTTGTCGCTGTCTTTGCTGGCAAAGTAGTGTAGTCTTACAACTACATACCTTTCTGTAGGCTTGTTGGCAGCTGGGGGTTGCAGTGCTCTGTAGGCCTTGTTGATGGTGAGCTCTCGGGGAGAGGTCTATGGGAGCAGAGACTGAAAAATATCCTGTAGCATCGGGAGAATAGCTTCAAGGAGTACTTTCTAGGGGAAGCCTCTTATGTGGATATTATTTCACCCGGAGCGGTTATTAAGGTTCTCCATCCCATCTTCTAGAGACAGGAAACGGGTCTGTAATGAGGTTAATGTGTGTTAACTGAGGAAACAAGGTCATCAGTTTGTTTTGACACATCCAGTCAATTCAAAGAATTGAGCAGTGAAACTGCAGGGACATGATCTATATTCCAAAACTGCTTGATTAAGCTAAAGTTGTTTTGGTGACAAATCTGACTACAGCTAAGTCAGAGTTTTGTTTCCAAATAGCCTCTATTTTCCCATTTTAAAATGTAGGCCTCAATTTTATAATTTTTTTAATAAGCTTTTGAATGATTTAATATTTTGAGAAATATTTTAATTATTTGATAATTTTTGATATATTGATATAAATTTTGTATATGATATATTTTTGATATCTGAATATTCTGAAATATTATAATATTATTAAAATAATAATTTCCCATTTTATCCAAAAATATTAAATTGAGCCCTTAATGTGTTAAAATTTGGAAGTTAGTATATAACCCTATAAAAGTCACCAGGTGTGGGGCAGTGACTTAGAAAATCTTTGGTTACTAATGTGGATATGACAAGTCTATAAAGTATAACTTGCCATTGAGTCTAAAGTCATTCTGACATGTTTGTAGAACATGTAGCAATTACAAAGGAGTAGAAGCAGTCCTACTTCCTAGAGAAGGGACTCTACTCTTCCTGGAAAACTGCTATGTAACTCACATGGAGTTGGAACTGGATGTATATGCAGTTTTTAACATGCACTACATGCAACTCTTTATTTCAGTTGAGCCCTTGTCAAGCTTTATAGATATTGTACTCTGGAGCTGAAATGTTGACATTGGTGAAATAAAGGTTCCTTCATTCAGCCGACTTTTCTGTGATATGCTAGGGACTCAGAATTCTTAATTTTGATAGCCTTTTTAATGGAACAAATTACACATAGGCAACGTTTCGGTCATGTACTGTGACCTTCATCAAGCTATAACACATCTACAAAATGGCAGTGTTTATAGACATATACTTTTAGTGGTGGAACATGTAATAAAAAAATACAGGTGAACTAATATTCATAATAAGAAATGTAAAACTTACTCCTAACCTTTGTCATCTATTTGCTAAAATGCCCATGTGTAGACATGTGCAATTCGTTTCGGTCCGAATTAAAATTTGGCCGAATTTCTGGTAATTTGGACATTTGGGTGCTTCCGAATGTCCGAATAGCTGAATTGCCGAAGTGCCGAAATTACCGAATTTCCAAAGTGTAGTAGTGCCGAAGTTCCGAAGTTGTCGAAGTTACAAAGTTCCGAAGCACAGTATTGCCTAAGTACTAATATACTTACCCAGTGAAAGAAGAAGGTTACATTGTATACTAACATAGCCAGGATTCAGCTGTAAGCGTTTGCAACACTTACAACAATCAAGTAACACACATTCATATAAAATGTAAGTTATTTGGCCAGTCATGTAATGACAGGAATGAATAAGTAGATAACTCCCTAATTCCCACGGTATTAGGGAGCTATCTACTAAAAGGCTGAAAGACCTATATTGTTCTTTCAGCCAAATTTACTAATACTATACTATACCGCGAGTAGGGGCATATCTATTAATCAGTGAGCAGCCTGTGGCTGCTCACTGTTAAAAAAAAAAAAAAAAAAAAAAGTCCCCCCTCCTGAGCCCCCACCCATGACGTGCGAGTGGGGGCTTTTAAACTAAACCTATTGCCCCCCCGGCCCCCACCCCTGAGCGGCGGGTGGGGGCCCTGAAGTAAAAAAAGAGGGGAGGACCTATTGTCCTCCCCATCCGCCCCCACCCCGAGCGGCGAGTGGGGGCTCTAAAGTAAAATAATGGGGGGGGGACCTATTGCCCCCACCCTTGAGAGGTGGCTGGGGGCCCTAAAGTGAAAAAAGGGGGAGGACCTATTGTCCTCCCCACTGGCCTCCCTCCCACCCCCGAGTGGGGACCCTAAAGTAAAATAATGGGGGGGGACCTATTGCCCCCACCCTTGAGAGGTGGCTGGGGGCCCTAAAGTGAAAAAAGGGGCGAGGACCTATTGTCCTCCCCACCGGCCTCCACCCCTGAGTGGTGGGTGGAGGCCCTAAATAAAAAGTAAATTAATGGGGGGGGACCTATTGCCCCCCCCCACCCCAGGCCCCCACCCTTGAGAGGCGGCTGGGGGCCCTAAAGTTTAAAAAGGGGGGAAGACCTATTGTCCTCCCCACTGGCCTCCACCCCTGAGTGGTGGGTGGGGGCCCTAAATAAAAATTGGGGTGGGGGACCTAATGTCCTCCCCCCTGACCCACACCCCTGAGCGGTGGGTGGGGGCCCTAAACAAGAAGGGGGGGAACTAATGTCCTCCCCCCTGGCCCCCACCCCTGAGCGATGGGAGGGGCCCTAAACAAAAA